AGTAGTAGTAGTAGTAGTAGTAGTAGTAGTAGTAGTAGTAATAGTGCAAATTGTAGCAAACGTAATAATAGTAGTAGTAGTAGCAGTAGTAGTAGTAGTAGTTGTAGTAGTAGTAGTAGTAGTAGTAGAAATGGTAGCATCAGCAGTCGTGGTGGTGGTGGTGTTGGCGATTCTGGCGCTGGTGCTAGTGCCCCAGCACTGGTCATCGGCATCTTGATCGAAGCAGCGGTAGTAGCAGCAGCCATGCCGCTACCAGCAAAACAGCCACCAGCAGCAGTCTGATTTTGGCCCACCACAAAAACTTATTGATGAACTAATCAATTTGGGTACACGATCTAGCGAATCCTTGATGCAAGTTGAACCACCGAAACACCGAACGGTCCGAAGCCAGCAGTAATAGTTTTACTAGGACTGTTAATAGTATCTTTTTCCGCGTGTTCGATTTGGTGCTCCGAAAGTGGAAAGTGTCGCTTTTCGATACATGCATACACAGATACATGATGTATACATGCCTGCAGATACATATTACTATATAGTTGGTTGTTAGCTTGCGGTGAAATGATAGATTACATGGTTCCGCTCAGCGTTTTCTGCTCATTTTCAAGTTTCAACACATGGGTTATCAGCACAGGTCCATGAGGATCTTAATGTAAGGTTGCCGAAGATTTCGCCTGTGCAACGAGACCGGGGAATGAACGTGCTTTGCCCGTGTGCAGGCCAGGACAGCAAGTACGTGGTCGAAGAAGAAGTCGACGTCGGCAACGGGAAGTTTTGCATTTGCCAGCATGCTGCAGAGCATTCGGTCTACCCCGACTTAGGCGGGCCTATACGATATGGAGTCAACAACTCAAGTATACCTTTAGAAATTTCTGTGACGCCTCTCTGCTTGGACCTGCAGGCAATGCAGGCGTGGCAGGCCCGGAAAGCGGCATGCTGCCGTGGCTGCGGGACACCCAATTTAGCGGCAAGTGGGTCCACTTGACACCAGGCTCGGACTTCACTGCAGACGTCTCCGGGAACCACAGCTTGAGCACCGTCTTCCGGCTAACCGGCGTGCTGAAGGTGCAGGATGACAACACTGCTGTTCAGATCGTTGCTACCCAAGACCTGACGAACACCGAAGCCCTCGAGGTGCCACTAATGGTAGTGTCGGGGGCTCCGCAGCCCATGTTGCGGGTGAAGGACGAGTCAGATGCATGCTTCCTTCTTCCGACCTTCAGCCCCAATGCGCAAATGGATTATGCGATTTGTGGTGGGCAGGGCGCCCTTGAGCGAGTCGAGGCATTCGTGAACGTGACGGATTCTCGTTTCCGTGTGATCCCCGAGGATCTGCAGGAGTCCGGGAGCTGCGGCATTGTGCGCAGGCGCGGCTTTCGGTCAGTTCGCAAGGACGACTCCGGCTGTGGGGCATGGTGTCATCGTTATCTGCCCCGTGGGGCACGCTATGACCTGACCGTCTCGCACTCCCCGGGTAACTGTATCGAATTCGCCCTGGACCTGCACAATGCAACCGCATTCAGCAACTCCCTGTGGATGACCACGTCCGTGCCCAACGGTTGCTGGTTCTTGAAGACATGTGAGTGATAAAGATAATCGGTAGTCTTCGTCATCGTTTACAGCGGTCTTGGAGTGACATGGAGTGGCAGTTCGAACTCGTCATAGGGCTTCTGGTGTAGCATGTCAACTCTTCGATCATATGAATTATGTCATGATTTTAACTCAGTTTAGCACTGTGCTTTGGGCAGAGCACGTCGCTAGATCCTTCCAGTGCCTGAGGTCAAAGGTGCCTCGATGACGGATGGTTGAATCAGGCAGTGAGGTTGAATTTCTCTGCAGCTGTGGAGGAAGGGGTGGGGTTTGCAACAGAGAGACTGAATCTCATGACCCCGGGCTCTGGGAATACAAGCTGGACGCGTCAGGTCAGCGTATGTTCGTTCATACAAGCCGTTCCGCTCATCGAATCTGAGTCTCATGAATTGCTGACACTTGCTCTACTGCGACCGCTGCAACTCCAAGTGTCCTGCGCCTGCTGCTTGCCACTAGACATCGCCTTAAGAATCGTGTATAGGAGCTGCTGGCGTGGGATGCGGACCCCAGCAAGATTTTCAAGGGCGTGACGCCCCTGCAGACTGCCGCAGCTTCCCGGCTGAACGCTGTTTCTATTTCCACACATTGGAACACACCCGGCTCTACAGCGTTGTCAGTCGCAGAGGCATTTGTCTCCTAATCCAATAATACTGTAAACCTGTGGTTCTGGCACTGTCAGGGAGGTTCTCGCTTTCGAACTGCACGGCCATGGTCTAAGCGATTCTCATGGTATTAGTGTTACTTGTGTGGCTCAGGGACCAAACAGCCAGCTTGTGCTAAAACACTATGTGTGCGTCCACGCCCGTCGAGGTTTCTTGCTGACAAGAGGCTTATGCAGCTTCTTCCACGAGCTTAGAGTCCAGCGGACGCGCTCCTAGCACAAATGAGTTCTGAGGTGAAACGCATGCGCGGGCAATCCTCGGAACTTACAGCCAAAGTTATTCCCAAAAAGCGCATCAAAAAATCCTGATGGCCACATATCACAAGCGGACAGCCATTCCTCCGAACCGGGTCCCAAACAGGAGGCCACGCATGCCCGCCGCAAGGGACTCTCAAACATAGCCGCAATCATCTGCACAGTGAGTGCGTATATGCAGATTGGGCCATGCGCCTCACAACAAGCTGCAGGAGCAAGACCCCCAAACAGCGAGATATGTACAAGGCCGCGGGATAAATCAGCACATACAACATATCAAGCATGTGAGAACTTTCAAGCTGCAAGGCTAGGTATTCCGGAACCAACAATCCTAGCAACGTCCTATGCACTCAGCCTGCAGACTCAAGCGGTGAGTTCCTGCGCAAGGAATGATCACGAGGGCCATGAATAGCTGCGCAACGATGGCAGTGCCATCAGTGCCTGGTACACTGAGGCAACAAAGAAGCTCATGGCGACGTCACTGCCGCAACCCACGCTGGCACATCCAGCGATGATGGACACGAGGCCACCCAAGATCCCATTGCACGGACCACCCACATCAAACTTTCTCGTGATGGAGAAGCTGCTGGGCAGCCGGATGCCCTCTAGGCTCCAGTGAGACAGGTTGAATCCCCCCCACATGCTGGTTGAAATGGCGACCAAACGTCAAACTGTTCAGGCTGCTGAGTAGTTGGATGCCTGCCAAGCTCAGGTTGAAAGGTTCGCCAAACATGAGACTCTGAAGGCTGCAGCTGCAGGGTGGTTGAGTAGCCCCCAAACGTTTGTTGAAATGGTGACCAAACGGCAAACTTTGAAAGCTGCTGCGTAGTTGGATGCCTTCCAAGCTCGGGTTGAACGCATAGCCGATCATCCAACTCAGCAGGCTGCTGGGCGGTAGAGGTCCCTCCAAGCTCTGGTTGAACTCGTAGTCAAAGAACGGACTCTGCAGGCTGCAGGGTAGTTGGCTGCCGCCCAGGCACCGGTTGAACGCGTAGCCAAACTTCATACTCACCCACGAACCTCTTGCGCAAAAGGTTGCCGCACGTCAAGCTCTGCAGGCTGCTGGGGTCGAATTCTCCAGGCTCCGGTTGAAAGCATAGCCAAACATCATACTGTGCAGGCTGCTGGGTAGTTGGATGCGATGGGTCGAAGCAGCTCCTCCGAACACATGCTCAACATGGCCACCTTGCAAAGCCCGCCCTACGTGCACATCAACGCTATCACGTCGGCTAAGGTGCAGTAGTTGCCAGCACTCAAATCGATGATCCAGATAGCCTCGCCAGACGAGCTTCTGTTCTGGCTGATGACGTTCGTCTGGAAAGCTAGGGGTTGTCTTGAAGCCAGCCACAAACTCTTCTACCGAGCTGTATGCAAGCATGTCCTCCAAAGCAATGTTCAACATGGCCACCTTGAACACCCTGTCCTCAGTGCCCATCACGCCGGGTGGGGGCCAAACCTGAATGCCCAGCTTTTGCATGACCGTAGCCGGCCGACGCACCCATGCGGGTGCTGGGGCACTACAATTTTCCGCGCTGTGCGGCAATTTGGGCCATGGCCTATGCAGCATGTAAACTTACGTGCAGGCGTCTCGAGGCTGGGCTCCTGTCTTCTTCAACGGGCTGGCAGCCTGCATGCTCTCATTGCCCAGAAAGCGGCGAATGTGCAAGCAGATCTCCAATCTGTCGATTCGATGCCGCCTCTTGCCATGTTTACACGTATCACTGGGCGACCGACGACGATTGACAACAAAGTCTGTAAGTGCACCTTCCTTGCAGCAACATGTATCTGCGAAACAGGCAACCACACTGACGAGCACAATCTGTGTCTAAGACTGTGTGTTGCAGGAGCGGGAGACGGCATTAGCGTGCACGTAGCCTGGATTGCTTCGGGAGGCTCAAGCAGGCCGTGCCACAAGCAAAGTTTCAGGCCAAACATAAATTTCGCAGTGAAGCAACAAAAACAACAGCAACAGCAACCGCAACCGCAACCGCAACAGCTACAGCAACAGCTACATCAACAGCAACAACAACAAGCAACAAGCAGCAGCAGCAGCAGCAGCAGCAGCAACAGCAAGAGCAACTGCAACAACAACAACAACAACAGCAACAACAACAACAACAGTCACTTCAGGCTGCAAAAGAATCCTCGGTGCAAGCCTGGAGAAACAAAATATCCGAACACGATGGCCAACCAGCATCTCGAAGCACTATATTTGTACATCGTATCTATATATAGAAATCTATGTATGTGTATGTATCTATATTTAGATATCACTGGATCAGGCGAAAATGCTGGATAGCTCCTTCGGGGGAATCTTGGTATCAGCGAGAGAGATCTTGGGCTGAGACAGTGTAATGTTGCCTGGACTCTTCCAAGACTTACGAGAGGCTTGCTTGATTCAGTCACTTCGGTTCCCTCAGCTCCGTCCTCCTCGCCTTACGTAGCGCATCGTGTTTGCAGCGATCTTGGTGCCTCTCCGTCCTTCCCTCTCACACTCTCATAGCCTTTTCCCTTTCTCTCTGACACCCGGAGCCGGCTCCACTTTGTCAAGGGCAATTGAGCCTTGGCCAGGCAGTCCAGGCACTGAGAAAAGGACAAATCGTCGTTTTATCTGCCCAGGACTCTGTCCTGGTCTCCTGGTGTGGGCCTAGAAGTTGCTTGATTGTAGTACAGCAGAAGAACTGGAAGTGCTTCGTTTTGGATGCTGGCTGGATTGTGCTGGCTTTTTGTACAACATTAGTACTGGAAATGCTTTGGTTTGCAGGCAGACTAACTTGTGCTGGACTGTAGCACAACATTAGGACTGGGAAGCTGGATTGAGCTGGACGTGGATGCTGGCTGGGGTAGTATCGCTGCTGAAGCAAAGATCCAACTTCCCAAGTCTTTAAACATGCATGATTTCTGATCTCGTTCGAACCGGTGCGTGCCCCAATCTCGTTCCCCTATTAGAGCGAGTTCCGACCTCTAAAATACCGCGCGAAGCCATCTCGTTTGAACAGGACATAGTACTGACAAAAAAAAACCGTCGCTCATTTGCTCTCATGACGAAAAGAGCTGAAAGAGGGTATAGATGCAATATGACTCCATATGATGCACTCGTAGCCTGAAAGAGTGTTTCGCCGAGGCCTACAACAACATCCCGGCACTTCGCCAGCTTTTGGATAAGAATGCCAACATCAATGGCAAGACGGAGCAAGGAACGGCGCTGGTGGCGGCAGGAAGCCACTGCCACATTTCGGCGATGGAGTTTCTGAGAGATCACGATGCCAGCGTGGCGATTGCAGTCGAAGGAAACTGCAGCGAGTCAACGCTTCTGGAGATTGTCCGAGAGCATGCCATGAACACCGAAACGTGCCAGCAGAAGGCCAAAGCATCTGCAGGCGAGGGCACTGCACAGAACTACACGGCGCTGTGGGATGTCCTGACCGTCCTCAAGCAGATGAGCCCTACTTCAAGCAAAGCTTGCCAAGGCCTAGCGGACAGTCTAGCCTGCATTTACCTGTCTTGTACTCGGGGGTTTAAACAGTACCTCATTAAGGGGCCGCGAGTAAGGATTTCAAATGGCTTGTGATTAGGCCCGTCATGTTTGGAAGCTCTCAGATGTCTTGCTTGCAAGCTTGGAGGTGAAGCGCTGACGGAAGCACTGCAGCGTCCTGATCTGTCCGCCGTGGCGGTACTCTTGGACGGTGTGAAAAACGTGGACAACCTGGCAGGCCGCCTTGCCAGACATCAAGCACACCGTGACTTTCTAAAGACACTACAATCTCCGGGTATGTATCCGTGACCATCCGTTTGGTTGGGTATGCTCAAAAGTTAGAGTGCGCATTCACTGCCCTGTAAGCTGGTGTCCGTAGTATGCATGGGCTAGTTGCAGCCTGTGGCACAGGAGACCTTGTGCCCATGCTGACGAACCTTTGGTTCAACGAAATGCTGACAGACGATGCCTTCCTACATGCGGTGGTCCTCCTTCACGAACACGGCATGAACCTGGAGCCCCGCGGAGAAGCGCTACTGCCCTTTGTGGCCGAAAAATGCAAAGTCCGACTTGTCAAGAAGCTGCTGGAGCTGGGGGCTAGCCCGAAAGCGCTGTACGGCAGCAGCAACGCCAGCAGTGAGGCTAGTGCGTGTCCGGAGCCGGAGAAGCAAACCATCCAGTCTGAGTTGGTGAAATACTAAAGCAGGCTTGCAAGTCGCCGTCCTGGACGGTTACAAGGCTGTAAAGAAGATGGTGAGCGATTTGACCAGAGGAGTTCGCGATACTGCGTTTTTTAAGCGAAGTAAAGAGCGGAAGCAGTAGCGGTAGTGATGAGAGTTCAGACACAGCGAGAGCGAGACCCTCCCAGGCAGCATCTCGCTCTCTGGAGCTGCCTCGAACTGCAAAGTTTCGCTGTGGAGCTAGGGGTTCTAGAGAGTGTATGATCAGCCGGAGTCGGAGAAGGAACGCCCTCCAGTCTGAGTGAGTTGAACGAAGCCTAAAGCTGGCTTAATTAAGTACATTGCAAAGTCGGGGGGTCTGAGGAGCGGCGCGAGCTGGAAGGGTGCTTAGGTGCTCGCTTGCTTGGAAAGTCTGCTTTGATTGTCCATTGAGCGAGAATGAAGCGTCCAACTACGTCCTCGGACCTTCTTATGAGCAGTAGTAGGGACTCCGCGTATGTGCTGGAGAGCACGGGCATGGGTTTCTGCTGCAGCCTAGCAACAGTAACAGAGGGCGTCGCTGGGCCCGAGGAACGGTGAGATTTCAAAGGGTGCTTGGGTGCCCATAAGCTGAGGAAAGTCTTGCCATGTTTTGATAGTGACGTTGATCGAGAATGAAGCCTGCCATTATGTGTTCGGACTTTCACTGTACAAAAAAAGATTTGAAAGAACCGGCAAGCAATTAGACAGTCCCGGGCAGTGCCGGAAAGCACGAGATTGCCGGCTATACCGTCGAATCTGCTGCAGCCTAGTAACGCCGGCAATTGAAGATTCACCGGGCCCGAGGAACGGTGAGATCTGGAAGGGTGCTTGGGTGCCCATAATAAAGCTGTGGAAAGTTTTGTCACGTTTTGATAGTCACGTTTGGCACTACCTCCTCGGACTTTCACGTTACAGCACACGCTTGAAAGGAAGCGGAAGTAGCAACTCATGTTCCGGCCGGAAGGCGCCGGTCTTCCCGCATTTGTAGCATCGGCACAGCCCCGACAACGATGGGCATTGCAGAGTCGAAAGGTCCGAGGAACGGCGAGAGCTGAATGCGCGCGGACGTCTTGTCAGATCTTGAGTTGCTCAGGAAAGTCATGCACGTGTGCATCCTGGGACTCTTATACTTGGACTAAGCGGGAACGGGTGTTTTTGTTTTTGCTGTTGCTGCTTTTTTGGTTGTTGTGCAAGCCCCGGCGAACTAGCAAGTGAGTGAACTGCCGGTGGGGGCCCAAACAGCAAAAAAACAAAACACCCCCCCCCCACTCCCCTCCCCGCAGCAACAGGAAAAAAACAAACACCCCCCCTGTAGCAACAGCAAAAAAAGCAGCAACAGCAACCCCCTCCCCCCTCCGCAGCAACAGGAAAAAAACACAACCCTCCCCGCAGCAACAGCAACAAACAACAAAATCGCAGCAGCAGCTGAACAAAACAAACACCCCCCCGTAGCAACAGCAAAAAAAACAGCAACCCCCCGCGCAGCTACAGCAAGAACAAACCCCCCCCCCCCCCGCTGCAACAGCAACCCCCTCCCCCGCAGCAACAACAAAAAAATACACCCCCCGCAGCAACAGCAAAAACAACACACACACACACCGCAGCAACAGCAAAAAGATAAACACCCCCGCGCAGCAACAGCAAAAAAAAGCATCCCGCGCAGCAACAACAAAAAAACATTCCCCCGGCAGCAACAACAACAAAAAACAACCCCCCCCCGGCAGCAACAGCAAAAAAACAGCAGCAGCAACAACCAAAAAAACACTCCTAGCGGCGAAGCGGTCTGAAACGGACTATGTTCCAGTCGAGCCATACAGTTTTAAGGGGTCTAGCGCCCCAACTGTATGGTCCTTGGAAGCCTAGAGTTAACTATAATTGGACTAATGTGATCTTTTCGCCACAGCAGTGTTCGGTGTTCGCTAGTTGCGACTGCAAGCCCGGTTGAAGATTCATATGCATTGATGTACCCACAGAGCCAAAGAAGAACAAGGTCCATGGACCCGAAACAGGTCTTCTACGACCTCGATGGTGTAGCGGCGCCGGGTGGACCACTCCAGAGGCCTTTCGGCAATCCACACTCTCTAAAGGCAATAGCAGATTCAAAGCGTAGGGCTTTGGCGTTGGAGGGTTACCACTGTGTTAGGCAGTACCTTCCTCAGGTTGTCATCGGCGCCCTTGATTGCAAATTTGCTCAATGATTTTGGGGCCTTTGGGCTCTTGAAGTGAGTGTGACGGGTTGAGGGTTGTGTAGCTTAGGGAGCTCTAACGGGCTCCAGGGCCTCTTTTGTATATGTTGGGGAAGTTGAGGGGCTCATTCTGAAATCCATTTATGACAAACCCTGTAGCCCTTCTGA